TTCCGCCGTCGTATCCGGCATATTTTCCGGCGCGTTTTATTTCCTTCCAGCCATATTTCCGCGGTTCCTTCTCATCGCCGCGCGTAGAAACGCCGCACAATCGACGGCCGCCGCGAGATAACTTACTCTCGGTCGGTCGCCTTCGCGGCCATTAAATTATCCTTATACACCACGCCGTTTATCCTCGGCGAACTGTATCACCCGAAGGGCAAAGATTTATCGCTTTCTATATACGCGCCGACGATATTTCCGCCGTGTTTCGCGGCCGAAGCCGCCGCGTTTCTGAACGGGAGAGACGGGTTTTGCGGAGCACCGGACGATGCTTCTTCCGACCTTCCGCGTTCGGCTCGTCTGTAGCAGCGAGGGTATTGTAGTTCGCGATATATTTGCGGCATGTGAACGGCGTGCGAGCCACCCCTTCGTCCGTACGGGTGTGCAGATTAATCAGGAAGCGTGATTCTTCCTCGTCTCCTCGCGCGAAAACGCGGGGACGGTCGTCGTTCGTCTTCAAGGTCTTCCGTTTCGTTATACGTTAATTATCTCGCCGGCCGGTCGCCAAATTGCGAGCCGAGACCGTTAAAAGTCTCCTGAAAATTGAACGAGGGATAAAGTATTTTACTCCGCACGCTTTCATCATCCCTCTCGCGGTCTCGGGCTCCTCAGCGAACTATCGGTTTCTCCCTCGGCGATTATTTATATAATCCATTATTATTTCACTTCGGAAAAGACGATTCGACTGGAGATGCTGAAAAAAGGCTCGGTGGAGAAATAGAGGTTAAACGGGTGAAAACTGGCTCGTCGTCGTCCGGGACACCCTGTAGCGGCGGTCGCGAAATCCCCGCGAATCTCGGTCGGGATATAAATGCGCGGACTCGATCTTCGAATTCGAACAATTCTTTTTTTCGCGTTTCGTCGATTTTTCTTCGAGTTCTCTATTCCACCACGCCGATAAGACTCCTCGCGGCAAAATCGCTGCAGCCGTATGGGATTATGACGTCAGCGGCGAGAAATCGCGAGTAATTTTTTTTTGCCGCGGTATACGCGTCGAGAAATAAATCAGCCTTTTTTTGCGAACAGCAGTAGCAACGGTACTCGCGTGGAGTGGACTCATATAAAAGCGTGCCGCGCGTGAACTCTCTCTCTCTCTCTCTCTCTAGCTCTGTTGGTTCATGAATTTGTAAGTAACTGTAAAACCGTCCGCCATAAAACCGAATCAACTAGCCGTAGAATTGAATTCTATATTCGCATCGCCGATGCACTTCGAGTCGAAATCTTGGTTCTACCTTGGCCCTGCAAATTCCGCCGGAGGACTTGAAGGATCAAGAGAGAACCTCGGGATACAACATTATATAGTCTATTGCCCTACCCTGATGTGCTATAAATAGTTACTGCCGTTTTCTCAATGGTGGGTCTTAAAAGGACTCGCATCTAGGATTATTCATTAAATTAATAATGAGAGCCATGAATACTGGCCTAAATTTCGATTTGGTTTATTTCGTTATTCTCAGCTAGTTTGTTAAATGCTGGTTAAGGTCGAGAACATCCCATATTATAAATAATTTCGCACACCTGTAAATATATGATCCCTGCCCGCATTCCGGCGACCTACGTTGTTCGTCCTGACTTCCCGATTCTGCATCCTGGCTCTCGGTTATTCCGTCGTGGTATTTCGGATACTCACTCGACACTAATGATGACACTGACACTAATGTGACCATGATTCGATCGAAGAAACGCGATTCCGACGATAACTCAAATGAAATATTTCAAGAGTCGAGTGAATTAATTTCAATTTCTCAAATGAAAAATGTCAAGAGTCGAAATGTGTTAATTGCTCGACGGAAATCGTGAGTAACTCACTGATATAAGCGTGTCGCGGAATGTGCGTAGACTCGAAACGTACGTGACGTACGAAAGTGCCAAAACAATCGGCAAAAAGGACAAAGTCGTCCACCAATCATTGGAGCGTACGTAATCTCATTGTCAATGACCGAGAGATCAAAACAATCCGTGCGCCCAGAACATTTCGCAAGTTCCACCTCAAATTTACCAAAACCGTTTATTTAGTGTTGAAACAGTTATTGTTGTATTGTATCGAACACAACACAACTGCTATTTCTATTCTTAAAACTCCTTACCTCGCGCTCCTTTTAATTCTCCAAATTCCCTAGCGAAACATTCCACGTCAGTCAGAAATGACGATAAATATTATTATGATAAAGGAAAATTCATCGCCTCACTTACTCATTAATCTTATTATTTACCCATATTAATTATTTAATATTTGTTTATCACGCATACTCTATTTGCAGCCGAATAAAATACATAATTAACACATTGCCTATTGAAACTACGAAGATATTAAATGCAGATAAAATATTGAGAGGCAATCGAATATTAAACAATTCTGAAAGGGTGCTTCTCTTTAAGCATCAACTCGGAGAAAACTTGACGGTGACTGTTCGTAGCTTCGAGGAAATAACAATAGCCTGGAGTGTTATATTTCAAGATTCTCCATTGGGCCGTCAAGTTCGACGGAACTTGAAGGATCGATACGGCAAGAAAATTTCGAACTCAGGAGAGACATCCTTCCGAGCTTATCTTTTAAATTATCATCGAACTCCCTTAATTCGACGTCCCGCTGATCAAAAACCAAATCGAGGGAATTTTTAATTCGATCCGCGCGAGGAACGGACAATCCGTTACAATCGGTCCAAACGAGTCAATTTGATCGGCAAGACAAGAACGTGTTAGCGACGCGATTAACTACAAAGACGATCTTGTTATAGCAATACGCTTTAATTGCTATCTCGCGATTAATTTTATTCGGAAGCGGCCAGACAGGGAGGAGCAGGAGGAGGAGTGAGTGTGGGGGTGCGGAGGACAGAACAACGCCGTTAATTCGATAAATTAATGATGCTTTAGCAGACACACACCTTGCTAACGAGGAGCCATTGTTCGCGATATCAAAAGAATCCTCGAATGACCGTCCCGTTATCGAGCGACGCGATTCGCTAGGAAGGGACGACAACGAAACGGCCAACTGTTTATTTTTTCTTCCCCGTTCGTTAAACAATTCGCGTGCACGAGACGTCGATGTTAATTGGCGTGCCTGTAAGTCGTATGTACACGTACAAATGTACGTCCCGGCAAAGCGTATTATCACTATTTAAGCAAAGCTCAGGGCCCAATTAAATATTAATGCCTCGTTTTCACTACGTCCTTATATCGTGTTATACGATATGCTGTTGCTTATGCAGAGAAAACGCGCGCGAAAGAGAGAGAGAGAGAGAGAGAAAGGAGGGGAGACCGTAATATAAACGCAAATATCCGTATTCGTCGACATTAATAAAAAATCGCTCGTGCCAGAAATATTCTCGTGAATCGAATCTCTTTTCTTTTTGAGGATAACTCGTTGCAATATCGATCGCTCGACACAGAAGGTGTCGGTCGTACGTATCAGACGCTTCGGCGAGGGCGAAATAATAACGCGCTTCGTGCGTTCACGCGGGGAGCACGCGAGTGTACTTCCTGCATCGTCGCATGAGATAAAATTTCCTTGAGAAAAGGTAGAATCTCATCGCGGAAATAACGCCGCGAGGAAATCGCGGCGGGTGGCCGGCGAGGGCGTCTCGAGGATATGAGGCTGCGAATCGCGAATTCGCAGGCGGATTTGCGTGTCGCGAGCACCGGAAATGCACCTTGTAAATGTACCATCGGCGCTAAGCGCCTTATCTACGACGCGCAGCGACCACAGACGTCGCTTAATCCGCGTCGAATTTCGCTGACGATATTCGCGGCGCGCTGCGATGCCGCGTATATTATCGATATCGAGGAAATATCGACACCTTCCATGCGGAGCCTCGGGTTATAATCAGGGACTCAAATTGGAAATATCGGTGATCTCGCGTCAATGTCGCGACGTGGAGACAATTATGCGATATAATGTCGGGCACATATGGGCGATACGATAATCAAACGTAAAATAACGATAATTTAGAGAAAACAGAGGGTACAATGTTGCCACTGAGTATATCGCGTGCGAAGTAATTAAAAGCACCGGTTTGGTAAGTGCCCCTTGCCCCGAGAGTCTCGGATATTCGGTAATTTAAGTCGAAAATATGGATAATTTCGCGTCGATGTAACGATATGACATTAATTATAATACATAATATCAACCAGGTATACTGATGTATTAATTATACATAAATGAATAATAATGCAGAAGAATAGAAGAAGTAACGTTGTCACTGGGTATATCGTGCGTGAAATAATCATGCACGGGAAAAAATGCTACTCGAATCGACGGGACTATCAACAACGCAGCGTAATTGGAATAAATCTTCTCGATTTCAATAGCGATATCGTTGGAACTAATACTTTAATTATTGAGACAATACATAACATAGTAGTTTTAATTGCCATTGAATCAAAATTTACTTCAATTACGCCGCTGTTGAAAATTTTTATTGATTCAACAGCAGTTTTTTCAGCGTACGTGCCGATTTTATGGAGTGATCAATAATAAACGTACCGTAGAGAAAATAATGTATTTTTCTCAGTTAGGTGCGTGCGTAAATATTCTACAGCTTTCACGCAGTTGAATGAGCGGTCGTCAATGTAAACAACACTTTTGGCAATAAAAAAACCTGATGACATCGTAACAATTCCCATGAAAAAAACACATTCCTCGCGATAAGCTTCGGGCGTTCACGTGAATTCCTCACTCGATAAACATGCTTTTTCCACCAACGGCGTACTCGATGCTGCAACGTGGCGATTTACGCAAAAATATGCACAGTAATGCATATTTTTCAAATGTATAATAATGTATTAATATGTAATAACCTGTTGAAAACGATGAAAAAGAGAAAAGAATCGAACGTATTTGTACGTTCGAAATGGATATACGGTTAGGAGAAACTGGTGAGCTGATAGGACGCAGCAGGTGCTAGTCGGAAGTGCGACCGTCAAAATATATTCGTACAGTTAACACTCACCGGCTATCGAGCGGGCGACGTGACAGCGCAGCAGGTAGGCGACGACGAGTAGCATCCGCGGAAGCCTCATCCTCTCTCTCTCTCTCTCTCCTGGAGCGTCGTTCTCGGCCGGCCGATTGGACCACGGCGTTCCGGTGAAAACGCACGTGAACACTCCGAGCGAGGGACACCGAAAAAGCGTTAGGCGATGGTTGTCCTCGTCACGTTGACACTCACGTTGCGACGCGGCTCGATGTACGACTCGACGTCATGAAACACGAGGACCGTCGCGGCACGAAGGAGGGGGGAAGCCAGGAAGGAAGGAAGGAAGGAAGGAGCGAGCTTACGCGAATTTCGACGAACAAATGCGCGCGTCCGACGTCACAATGCTCGCATCCTCGCGCCACGCACTTCAGAATCTGACTGCGCGACGAGCCAATCGCCGCGGCGAGCGTCGCCCCGCCGCGCAGCGAGTCAACGCAGCCGCCGCGTCGCCCGGCCAATCGCGCGCGTCGACGGCGTCGCGCGAGCATGCGCACGCACTCGCTGCCGTCGCCGCTACTACTGGCCGAAACGGCGGATTTTTAATTCACGCGAGGCGACTGATATTCGCAGCCACTTCCAAAGTTAAGGAAAATTGAGGGATTCAGCGCGACGGCCGGCGTTCGCAGTCTATCCTTCGAGATACTCGGGGCGACGAGGCTTTTCCGCGAAACTACAAATATGGCGCACTCGAATTAATTTTCTCTCTTGCTCTTCAGAGGGCAGATTAAATCGTCGTCGCGTTGGGCCCTTCGTTCGAAAATTCACTCGTACATTCGAATTACAACTGCGTAGCCATAACACGACATTCCGAATTCAATTGTCTCGCTTTAAACAAATTAAAAATGTGATTCCGCGAACGAAAATACCGTGAACGTGAAAAAGGTAACATTGCATGAAAATAATTAAATGAGTGAAAAAGTTATTCTTAGGGAGTCCGCTATTGCTATTGTTACAATAAACATTTGATTACTATTATATGTTGAGTTATAGAGAACAAAAAAATTTGCTCGACTGCCGAAACCCGGGATTGAACCGGGGACATTTAGATCTTCAGTCTAACGCTCTCCCAACTGAGCTATTTCGGCTCGTGCTAGTGATGCTCACTAATACTCTGAAACAGTAGCTCTTTCAATCCATACGACTCACACTGATAGTTTTATGTGCAAAGACAATATTATTTTAATAAATTACAAATATTGTAACAAATGATTGTAAACCTAAAGGAAAAAATCTGTTTCGCGAAATTAACGTTACGCCAAAACGACTGCGTGATTTTCGTTGAAATTGAATTTCAATTTTCTCCACATTTTTCTAAATTACCAACTGCTTGAAACTCAGAAAATACTGACATCATTCGCTTACATCGAGTTTTTATCACTGCCTTTTTTATCGCAATAGAAGCTTTATCGTTCGTGCATGAGAAACGCGAAGTACAAAGAACAATATTACCGCGTTAATAAATCGTGTGCATATCGTTCTTCTATGCGGCACTTCGCACGTTTATTGAGAAAGGGGATAACCTCAATTATCCGGCTGTTCGATATTATTGGTTATTCCCAGTTATTCCAGAGCGAATTGTTGCGCCATGCGGTGCATTTGAAATACTCACCGAGATATTTCCCCGGTATCCTTCGAGGTTCGGCTGATTGATAGTCGATGCACGTTGCAAAAACGCGCGTTCTATGAAATGTACCCGAGGTTACTTGGCAGAGACGGGGGAAAGGGAAAAGAGTCGTTTTAATTCATGGTCGTGGCTCGAGAAGGATCGCCTGGAAAACAGCTCACAGGGCCGATACGAGAAATACCTCGGATATCGCGGTACTAAAAAGGCAGGGCGATAAAAGGAGAGGGAAATTTAAAAACGTGGAGAAACGTAAAAGAGCGCAAGCTGAAAAAGAACGAATCTCCGGTTCTCTTTCTCTCTCTCTCTCTCTCTCTCCTGCTCTTTTCCTCATTCCCTTTCTATTCCGCTCAATTGCACTTTCCGTATCCCGCCGTTTCCTCCTGCTTATCAAAGCGTACGTTCCGTTTAGTTTCGCGCATGAAAAAGGCAACATTGGCCGTGCAAAGAAAACACTTATTATTCCCGTAGCCGTTGTTCCCTGACCGTTCGATCTCGCGGAACGAAGCATACGCGATGAAAACCGCGCGATTGCGAAATGGCGGGCGACAACGTTATCGGAATTACACGGCTTGTCGCCGCATATATAATTTCGCGATACCTGCTTATTAGCCTCCACGATTTTTCCACCATGCGATCTGGACAGGGCGCTTTCCGTCGTCACATTTCCTGCGGGAATTTTCCGCTCGGATCGCCGCCGATGTCGTGGAATTCGATTCGACGCGGGTCTCTTTTTCTCTCTCCTCCTCTCTCTCATTCTCGGCGAAACTCCCGCGACGTTCCGGGCGTCCGGAGAGAATCCGTTCTTCTCGCATAGGCCCGACTCGGTAACGATCGCGACGCACGGCGGGAAGGGAAGCAGGAGACGTCGAAGGCGGGCGCAGAAGACAGGAAAAAGAAAACGGAAGACAAGGACGCGGCGAGGTCGCGGCGTTCTCTTCCTGGCCGGAACGCTCTGAACTTGGTCGCCGGTGCGTGGTGCGCCGATCGGCGCGCCACGGTCGTCAGTCGTGTGTCGGACGTGCGGCGTGACGGGTCGGCCGGAAGCGCAGCGTACACAGTGAAGAGGAACAGCTTGGTAGCCGTTTCGAGCGTCACTGGTGTCATCGTTGTCCGTCCGTCCGTCCTTTCGCTCGTACGTACTTTTGACAACCTGACGCGTCAGCACCGGGAAAAGAGAAGCGTGACGACTACCATGGCCAGTCTCAGGCAAACACCATTGACGTGCAGCGGCCACACGAGGCCCGTGGTGCACCTCGCCTTCTCCGACGTCACAGAGTCCGGTTATTACCTGATCTCGGCGTGTAAAGGTACTTTGAACGAGCTCTCGCGTTTCCTCTCCGACGTACACATCGCACGCGTCCCCTCGCGGATTTTCTCTTTCGGTCTCGTTCGATCGCGACGAGTTCGATTCTCGATCGCCTTGGCCCAATTCCCCTCGCCGGCCCCAAGGCTCCCGCGAACTTCGAGGTTAGACGCCGCGTGCTCTTGACGACTCCGCCGCTCGTTCCGCCGCTTCCGTGATTGACACGGAGAGGCGGCGGCGGCTCTCGTGTGTATTTTCCGCGAGGTTACGCGAGACAACCTCATGGCTTCATCGTGATCGATGATGACTCGGCTTTCGTCATACTCTCATGCCACCACGAGAGCATGATCGATCATCCGCCACCGTTATCGCGTATTTGATGACGAGGAAATACCTTATTTAGATCTCGCGAAGGATTCCGCGTGTCAACGTCTTTTTCTGCTCTCATGCGTCCCGCACAGAGATTTAGTCATGATCAGTGTGTCGTGTTGTTAAACTGACCGAATAACCTAAAATTAAATTTCTATGAATTTACCTTATATAAGCTTGATATTTCTTTCTGTGTGTATCTTGTGTGACATGTATGATTAGTTTAATTTACATTATGCACATATGGAAGCAATTTTTTTTTGGAACAATGGTTTCTTTCCACAGATGGCAAACCCATGTTGCGACAAGGTGACACTGGAGATTGGATCGGTACATTCGAAGGACACAAGGGAGCGGTATGGGGTGTAGCATTAAATCCACAAGCTACTCGTGCTGCGACAGGAGCAGCTGACTTTAATGCTAAAGTTTGGGATGCGATTAAAGGAGAGGAGGTGCATTCTTTCCAACATAATCATATAGTTAAGTCTGTCAACTTCAGTACCGATTCCAATCATCTGTGTACTGCCTCTAATGAAAAGCTAGTACGCATTTACGACCTTAATAAACCAGAAGAAGCTCCACAGGTAAGTTTGAGGTTATATGGTTTGATAAAAATTAAATTATAATTAACACCAAAGCACATGCAATAGAAATAAACCATGTAGGTCACTTGATCAGTATCTAGTTCTTGCTTTCTTTTTTAAAGGATCAATTATCTGTTCAATATTCTTGATTAAAACTTGATTATCAAATTTTATAAACTTTATGTTAAATTTCATTACTAAACTTTAATGGACACTGCTGTGTAATCTATTCAGTTTGGATTTTCATTTCTTGATTATCAGAAAAAGTTTTGTCTGCTCGTTGGTGAAACAAACTGATGTACAACGTTCATTAATAAATAAATAAAAAACTTAAAATTTTCTTTTATCAATATATCTTTACAATTTTTGATACAAATGAATTTTCGATATAAATCTTACCAGGAAGATGTGATTGAAAATTAAATACCATTTTTCATTTAATTGAATATATAAAAAATAATACAGCTTTATAATCTCTGTTATTAAATACTCTGAAAACGGAGGATTTTAAACTATAAAATGTTTTTTAAATTATTTCCTTATCATCATTTTTGCTGAAGTAACAGCCCATACTTTTTGAATTACGAAACTTGAAAGTAAGAGAAAATTTGACTAATCCTCGAGTCGTATTATTTGGAAATAATAATACTAATAATAATAATACTACAAAAATGATAATAAAATAGTCTTAATCTTTTTCGTATTTTTGTTGTTGCGCCATCTAACGGTATCAAGGAGAAACTGAATGCACCGAAAGGGTTTGAGTTTCTGTTAAATGGTCCTTGATTATCAACCGAACACTCTGATGCTTTCTTTTTATATATTTAATTGATTATTTAAACATCGGTTTATTTCATGGGCATCGCCCATTCCTAATCCGATGCAATAATGTTTCATACAGAGTATTTTCGTTTCAGATCTTCTCAGGTCACACAAGTGGTATTAGGCACGTCACTTTCTTTGATAACAACTCCGCCTTGGTCACTTGCGCGGACGATAAGACATTAAGGGTGTGGGACAGAAATAGCGGGCAAGAGGTCAAGAGACTAGACTTCCCTGCGATTCCAAGTTCCATGGAAGTGTCCAAGGACGGCAAGATCATCACTACTACTCACTCGAACATCGTTACTTTCTGGAATAGCAAGGAGTACGTGTCGACTCACAACGTCGAAACATGATATAAGACGTAATATCCAATTAGTGATCTATAATTCTCCCTCGAATTTTACCTTATATCAGATTAACGAAGATAAAAGAGTTCATGGTGCCCACGCAAGTGAACAGCGCCAGTCTGCATCCGGATTGTAGTATCTTCGTCTGCGGCGGGGAAGATTTGAAAATGTACAAGTTCGACTACAGCACTGGCGCGGAGATAGGTGAGATTTTGTCTCTTACGTATTTTTACAAATCAGGATATCGATCAGGGTATAATTTTTTCCCCCAGAGCGGAAACGTGAAAAAAGTTTCGCGTGAATTTACACACGATCGATACTCTGCGATTTTCGTCGAGAGAGTAATCCAATGAACTCTTTTGCTCCTCACCGTGCTGATAAAAACTCCTGTTCTCAGAGTCGTTCAAAGGACACTTCGGGCCAGTCCACTGCGTACGCTTCTCACCGGACGGTGAACTGTACGCGAGCGGATCTGAGGACGGTACACTGAGACTATGGCAGACCACGGTCGGCAAGACCTACGGACTGTGGCGTTGCGTCGAACAGACGCCCGCGATACAAGAGAACGCCGCCGTGATCAACAATAAGCAGGAAGTGCCTGCCAATTAAAACTAAAAGCCTCGCAGCGAAGCAAGCAAGAAGCTCACCGGACATACCACAGTTCGCGAACGCGTTCCCCACCCGACGATCGCCCGAGCGACACGCGGATACGTCTCTTGGACCAAAATCGAAGTACGAACGAGCAAACGAAACATCCGAGCATCCTTTTTTTTACGGGCCACTTTTGTCCATCGACGGAAATTCTTGTAAATAATATAAACGGATTGTAACGAGCGCCTACTATTGTGGAGAAAGTTCGACTCGCTTCCGTCGCGCCACACACACACACACACAAATTCCAGATAAGACTAAAAAGGAGCGAGAGGACCAAACACGCTCTTCTCTCGAAGAGAAGCGCGACGGACACGATCGCTATTTGTATTTACGACGAATATATGTGTGAAAGAAAAAGAGAGAGAGAGAGAGAGAGAGAGACGGAGGAGAAAAAGAAATATTAACATTTATTAACATTATACATTGTCATTATTATAATACAAAATTAAGGTAGAGGTATAACGTGAGAAAGAAAGACGAGTTCGGAACGAACGTTTCACCCGCATTTCTTATTCTTCTTTTTTGCCGCCTCCTCAAACCAATATCGCTTGTCCGTCCGTCCGTCTGATCGTTAACCTAAACGCGCGAGAAAGATGCTCGGCATTGGTGGCGTGTGATCTACGCGCGACCGACGTCGTGCATCTCCAATCCGATATACTCCGCATTTCTTCGATTCCAGTTTCCGCGCATGACATCACTGCCATGTATGCAAGGTGAGATGATAAGTTTACTCTTGCTCGTTCTCTCGCCGTTCTCGCGCGATCCTCCAGCGCGCCCGATTTTTCATTCGTGGGGAGAAAAAGGAAGAAGGAAACAAAAGGAAAACAACTGACCGACAATCCTCCGTATCCCGTGCGTATACTCGCGCGTCTTCCCGCGCCTCGTCTCCCTTCTCTCGTTCTTCTCTTCGGTGATGCGATCTCTTCTCTTCGTGTCCGGTGAACTTATTACTTGCGCCTTATCATCTATATTTACACGCCGGCAGGTACTGTAACTTCCGTTATCTTCCGATGAAGCGTCCCTCGCGGGGAAGCGTGCGCTTTATTCCGTTTCGTTTGCGGTACTGAGCTTTCTTTCGCGCGCGGGTTTAATTAATTGGCTGATTAGGTTCTCGCCTGATCAGTCAATCGATTAAATTCGGGGATCGGGTTTGTCGTACAGTCTCTCTCGAAGTAAAGCAGTGTGTTTCCTGCGTATTGTTTATCGGTAAGCAACGAGTTTACGCTTTTAAAGTCTTCTTCTTGCACACCGCGCGCGCTTCAGCCGATGAATTGCGACAGGTCGGGCAGCTTGAAGCCATTGAACGAGGTCGGCGTCGGCGAGCTTCCCAGGTTGTTCCGGTGCAACGGGAAGCCAGGGAAGCTGTTGCTGGGTGTGGTGAACTGTTGCAATCTCGCGGTGGTCTCCGTAGCTGCCAGCACAAAGCCGCATTGCGCGGTGCACACGTCGTCCCGCAGGATCGATTCTCGGGAAGCTTCTCGCAGGAGCTGATTGCAGTCCGTGACTCTCAGCGAAGCACATTGCGTCTGAAAAACATAGGAGAATCGTTAAAATTCCCCTCTCCCTCTCTCTCTCTCTCGCTTTCTTTCTTTTTCTCTGGAGTGTCCAATTTCAATTTGGGAATCCGAACTCGACGAGAGTTTAAGGCTCCGATTTCCTCGTCGCAGTTGTCTTGATTAACCATTAAAGATAATGGCCAAACCAATAAGGTTAACAAAGAAACAATAATTTGAAATGTACTCAATGGATCACAAATGTTGTTCTATAGACATGTCTTTTTTAATTCTACATATTTCGCAAGAATTTTGGGCTTGCGTTTTCTCGTTCCTGACGTCGTCAAACAAGACGGGAGACTGGAAAGCTTTAATTTTAGAAACTCAATTTCAGAAGTTCGATCTCAAGAGTTTGACTTCTCGGAGCTCTCGAAACTCCAATTTCCGATGCTTCCTCACGATCTATCCGCGCCGTCGGAATTCGAATGGAGCAAAATGATAGGGAGATTTCAGATCGTGACTTTGGGAAAATTAGAGATCTCCAGAGATGCACTTACGCCTTCGGCAGTGCAGACGCAGCTGGTGCAGGGCGTGGGGAAGCCGGACTCGCCGACGGCGACGTTCCTCCCGCCGATCTGACAGCCGTGTCTGGTCTCCCGCCAGGCGGAGAAGTCCAAATGCGGCATTGAGTGGCAGGGTACGCGCGGGTTCAGGAAATTGCTCGGCAAGTCGAACGCCGCCCGCTGCATCTCCGTGTGGCGGTCCATGTTCTCGCACACCACTTTAGACAGAGTGGTCTTGCGGATCTCGGCCAACTGGTGCTCGGTGAAGCGGATGTTCGGGTCGTCGGTCTCGTACCAGAAACGGTCGCACTTCCTCGACTGCCTGAACTGGATGGCGATGACGCAGGCGAACGTGGGCCCGACCAGGCCGCCCTGGAGCGGCCTCTCGCTCATGCCGCCCGGGAACAGGTCGATGTCGTCGACGGAGGCGTATATGCGCTTCATGCGGGCGATCACCTCCGGCGCCATCTCCCTCGAGAGATCCTCGAACGTGGTGGCCCTCTTGAGGTTGCAGAGCGCCCGGTAATGATTGTACGACGGCAGCCCATGGTCCCGGGCGCGGTGGATGTTCAGGGCGATCAGATCCACCCCGGAGTGCGGTATGCCGTGCTGCTCGAACAGATGATTCGTCACCTCGCCGGTGATGAACTGATCCAACGTTTCCATCGGCGTGGCCACCAGGCCGCGCACCATCTCGTCTATCATGCTCTCCTGGTAGAGCATGTCCGGGTTGAAGAACCCGTCGCGCAGCAAGATGGGCGGGTCGATGTTCTGGTAGTTGTTGTCCATGCGCGGCAAGTGCGGCCGCAGCAGCGAGTGGCCGATCCGGAAGGCCGCGGTGGCGAACTCGTTGAGTACGCTGGGGTTACAGGTGGGCGAGTACTCCTTGTAGTAGCCCTGCGGCAAGAGCTTCAGCCCGTACAGGCTTACGGCGTTCCATCCGAGGATCCTCGGCAGGAACTCGTTGTAGGTGATGTGCTGCAGCATGCCGCTGATGATGCGACGGGTCTGTTGGAACAGCTTCTCGCCGTCCCAATGGAGATTCACCTGCCTGAGGCCCTCCATCACGCGATTGTGCTCGCGAATCCACATGGTGTGCATGACCGCCAAGGCCGGCTGCTCGGAGGCGCGCCCGTCGCCGCCGATGAAGCAGTAACCGGAGCGAGCCTTGCATTCCGGGTGCGTCGGCGACTGCGGCAAGAGATCCTTGCCGCGCACCGGGTGCATCGTGACGTTCATGCGGCCGTTGAAGCCGCGTAGGATGTTGCAGATGCACGAGTTCTCGCCGTAGACGACGGAGGCGTCGAGGAAGCCGGTGTTCTGGTTCACCTGTTCGCGGGGGCCCAGGTGTTGCTGGCCCGGCAACGACCTCATCGACGGGAAGCACATGCGCGCGCCCGACGACACGTTCACGGTCGGATAGTGGTGGTCGCCCGGCGGCACCGGGAACGGGTTGCACTCCGGGTGGACGGTGCGCGGCGAGTCGCACGACCGGCAGCTGGGTATCGACTCTTGGAAGCCCTTGTGTATGGGCGTCATCGTGAGGTCGTGGTCGAGGAACTGCGCGAACTGCATCACCATGAGCGTGTAGCGATTGTGCAGGTTCGAGATGTCCGGGTGGATGACGGTGGAGACCACTCGCGGGTTCGGCAACGGCCCGCCGTTCACCGACGTCATCCGCGGCTTGGACACGCCGTCCTCGTAGACGGGCGGCAGCAGCCGCGCGAAGGAGGTCAGCGACTTGCCGAGGGTGGGGTTGCGCAGGTTGTTGCAGTGGCCGGACAAGGTGCGGTAGGGCGAGGTGGGGTCGCAAGGCGAGTCGTCCACCGGACAGTTCACCTCCTCGTGGTTCGTCGGCTTCTGCTGCGGCAGGAAGCCGGAGATGTCGACGTTCTGCAGCAGGTCGGAGAAGTCGTTGCTGGGGAAGCTCAGCACGTTCTCCGTGCTGTCGAAGATCTGCCGGCGCCGGCGGCGCAGGCCGTGCACGCCGTTCAGGATCTCGTTGGTCGCCAGTTCGTACATGATGGACGAGTTGGCGAGCAGCAGGGCGTCCTTGTTCGCCTTGGAGAAGCTGGCGGCGGTGCCGGTGGGCGACTTCGGGTCCGCGATCTTCTGTTCCAGCCAGGCGTTGTACTCGAGCTGCTTGCGCTCGATCAGCTCCTCCTCCGCCCTCTTCACCGCCGCCGCCAACACGTCGGGGCTGATGATGGGCGTGAACTTCCTCGCCGTGCTCTCGACGTCCACGTCGTTGTGCCGCAGGACCGGTAACGGTAACGATTCCTCGACCCATTCCGCGACGTTCAACGGCTGATATTGCTCGCAGCTGATCTTGCTGTTGAGGTACGGGTCCTGCTGGATGAACGCTTTGGGCTGGACCTTGAGCATCTCAGAGTTCGCGCAGAGAATCCCGGCGAGCGACACCTTCCTGATCTCGGCGAGCTGCGTCGCCGTCAAACCCGACGGCGGGATGTCGTTCTCGTACCAGAAGCGGTCGGACTTCCTCATCGTCACGAACTGCTTCCTCAGCAGACACTCGAACGTCGGCCCGACAGCGGCACCTTTCACGGGAGTTTCCAGGATCCCGCCTATGAGCAGATCCACGTCCTCCAGGTGCGTGTAAAGGGTGCTCAGCAGCTGCGCGTGCTCCGGCCGCATCATTCGCGCGAGATTCGTGAAGTTCTGGATCTGCGATCGGACGGGTTGGAATGGATCAGTTTGCGTCGCCTTGTCATATCCACGCGTTTTTTCCGCGTGACGTTGTGAATCAAAGATTTTATAATTTACGTGAAACGATTATGTTACTGCACGGAAGAAAATGCTAGAATCAAGTGAACGTAATCACCTGTTTTTCGGTCTCTTAAATCAAGTGATATTTTTATCAATTTAAATGCATTATGTTGGCTTGTAATAAATATTTACTTCAACGCAACAATAATTTGTAAATAAATTATTAAATGTAAGTAAATTGTTCTAAATTTTAGAGAGTATTTATTACAGAATCATGTAATACTTCTTTTCCATTGAAGAAACTTAGCATTTAAATCTCGATTTTTATGTCCAGTAAATATTTTCTGAAATTAGAATTCTGATATTCTCAATATTATGAATTTAATTTAACTAATTTAATTAATGCAATACTCGTCGTAATTGTTTTAACACGTACCAGTAAATGTTTAATTAAACGAAGGAAATATTACAATGTGTATATAGTCAATTATGTTTTTAGTAAATATTTGCCAAAGAATATAGGAGAGCAACCACTTTACCTGTAAATCAAGCAAATTTTTCTTGAAGTAGCACTTTTTTCTTTTCAGTGTACTGATATCAAGATAAAATTCCACATTCTGTCCACGCGAGATCATAATACAATATGTGCGCCTCTAATAATGACATTTTTCATGTCGAAATAATGAAATTGTTTCTGCATCTTTTAATTACATTTTTTCGTTGAAATTAAGCGGGTATCGGAGATTCCATGTGTCGCTTATTATTATTACTTAATCGTTACTAAATTTATCTTTACCGCCGAATTTGCTCGCCTGCTTTGAGATTCTTATGTAACCGGCCGGCAATAGCATAGATATTGGCGAACATTTGCATTTATTCAAGTTCATCTTCGCATTCGCAGGATTCCCCGGTATTAAAAAAAATCACTTCTGAGCTGTCAATCGATGAGAGGCTAACAACTTTTGACGCTGGGGAAACTAAAATTTCTCTATCGAGTTATTCCAATTCATATTCATCAGCGATGAGATAATCGCTAGAAGTCACCGCGATTTCGATAATTTTAGCTTCGGGACTCGATGAACATTTTTATTTTCTCTTTCGAGGAACCCACTCGAACGTCCAATCACCATAAATTTTATTATGAATTTCCCGACGTTTCTAATTTTTACCGCTGCTTTTAACGCCCAAAATATTCTCGGGAGTTTTTTATACCGCGATTATTTATACCGATTTTTATACCGATTTTCAGTGGAAAATCTCAAAACTTTAAAACTTGGCTTACTTCCAACCCAATTCACTAATTAATTTCATATCATACACTTTCTTCTCTTTTTGTATGTATGGCTTATATTTACTAACTGATTGATCATTTATCCTACTTTTTTATTTTAGTATCGATATTATTGTAATTCAATATTTATAATTTACCTTTAAATGAACATAAATTGAATATTCTCCTTTTATATTCTCGTAGATATTGCGTCCATTTTTGTGAGCAAAAGCTGCTCTTTCCCGTAAATAAATATTATTATTATTACTGTCTTTATTACAGAAGCCTACCTGGGCACTTTCGCCCATACAGTCGGCCAGGAACTCGACGTATCCGGGTACACCGTGATCCCGCGCCACATGGACGAGCCGGGCCGCCGCGTCCGGTACGGCCGCAAAGTCGACCTGGTTGGCCGAAGTGGTAACATGATCCTCGATCAGCGTGTCGTTTTCCCCGGTGCTCCACGTCCACGCGAGGGCGCGCAGAGCCGTGAGAGCTACGACGTCGTAGGTGCCGGCCTCGTTGGACGACGAGTAGCCGTGGTGGAAGCCGTTGGCGAGCAGCGCGAGCTCCGGCTGGACGAGCGCGTCTTCTCCCAGCACCGCCGGCACGTATTCGTTGAAGGTAACGTGCTGCAACTGCGCGACGACGATGCGACGCGCCTCCAGGAACAGCTTCGTGTCGTCCCAGTGCACGTTTGTCGCCGCCAGCCGCTCGGCCACGCGATTGTGCTCGCGCAGGAGTACCTGCCGCAGCAGGTCGAGCGCGCTCGTCGACTCGCAGAACTCGCACACGGTCAGGTCGACTTGCCCGTCGTGGTACGTGCGCAGCTGGTGCAGCCGGTCGTCCGTGGCGCCGTAGACGGCGGATCCGTCCAGGTACGCCGACACGCCGTTCATTTGCTCGCGAGCCTCGAACTGACAGCCGTGCACCGTCAGACTCGGCACCGAGCGCCAGTACCTGCTGCAGCCGAACTTGTCGTCGTGCATCTCGTAGCACTCCGGGTGCCGAGTCCATCCTCCTCTGGCGTTGCTCGAGCAGCATCGGTCTCTGCGGTCTGCTGGATGGACCGTAACGGCGATATCCCGCAACACCAGCTCTGACCAGAGCCCGGAGAGACTGGTGAGACCCTCGTGGCTGCCTTGCCGCGTCAAAGTGCTCAGGTGGCTGAGAACCCTCGAGACCACGTCGGTCGACGTGGGTAGACTGTGGCTGCCCACCGATTCACGTGGCTTCGAGATGCCTGGAATGCAGACCACGTTAGAGTCTCGATGCTCGATGCATGCTTTTATCGCGTGGTCGAGCTATTGCCAACGCGGACAATTAGCGGAGTGTATAACAACGTGGGCGGTTCGAGCGAGACGGTATCTTCTAGATTTTAGATCTTCAAAGTTCCACAACCATAGATTTGTATCTTGCATATTTTATATACAATCTGCGTAATGTGTATAATATATAATGATGTATTTTAATATATTTTCATAAAATTTTCAGTATCGTTATTATAAAATATTTCGGCCTTTAATAACGTGTCTAATAATATAATTGATAATTATTACAACATGACGATCGCGAGTGGCGATAATTAATGTAATAAAGTCATTTAAAAATAATTTAAAATATTCCTTATTGAGGGAAAAATATAATATTGACGGATTGCTGCGGCGTGCAATTCGAATATTTGATATCGAAAATATCAGACATCTCTCAAATATGTTTTACGGTAGACGTCGAATTTTGGTTGTGGGAGAAAACGTGTTTTCCGGACAGGCAACTTTCGTCGTTCGATCAACCGTGCTTCTTTTCGTTTTCTGTTATTTGCCGCGGGCAGAAACGGTTCCTTCTTTCGACGCGCACTACTATCGAGACGCGCGCGATCACGACTCTCTCTTTGCTTCGTAAGGGTGAGCGGCGTTAATGAGATAAAACTACATCCGCCTCTTAATTACATTCACGATTGTTCTCGTTAAAAAAGAAAAAAAAAATGATTTGTTCAACGAGAAGACAAAGGAACAAGATGAACGAACAAGATTGTGTTTGCACAGAAGCGGGCACACGTGATGAAGGAAATTAACGTTGAATGCTCCGCGGTAAATTAAATAAGCATAACAAATAGCTACTACTACCTTAACTTCGACGAGATAATACAATGCAAAGTGTCGAGAGTGCAATCGAGACGAGGCTACGCGCATCGTCTAGAAAGCGACGACGAATTTATCGACATATGAAATACCGGCTATCCTCGGATAATTATCGAGATCACGAATACAGCGAGCCGTAGTAAAGTCGATCATTCCCGAATAGAAAGCAGCAACTTGGAGCACTCGCGAGCAAGAAAGAGAAAGAGAGAAAGATGCGGGACGATGTAAGCCGAAGGTTCGGCTTCATTACGCGTCGGTTCCGAAGGGGAACCGGGATTATACAGCATTGACGTGACAATATCGGGATTCCAATATTTCCAGTCTCCTCCAGCCTCCTGGATCCGAATACGCCTGACATTGAATAAGCGAAATCTTCGTGGACGTGTTTCCCTGCGTTTTGCAGAATCGATTAACCGCGCGAACCGCCGGCGAATCCGGACATACGACGTTTGAGAAATCGTCCATGTTACTTCGTTCGCGAGCACACCGACGATATTGGTCTCGAAAAACCGGACCTCGAGGATTTGACAGAGAATCCCCGAGGCGCCTAGTTACGTCAATCCGACAGCGCATGAGACACTGATGAAATATTCAGACGTTCTTCTTCTCTCTTGTCGTCCCTCCCTCTCTTCTTTTCCTTTCTTGATAAATATTTCATTCCGAAGGGACGGTGCGAGCGAATTTGGTCGTAGCGCCTTTCGTATGCAGAGATGCGCGATGAGTCACGCGGATGTTACCGGCGAGCGAGTGACGAGCCGAAGGCGGCTCTACGTGGGGTCTCGAAAAGTGCAATGTGTGTCAAAATTCTGTGTCATGGTTACGCGCACAAGGCGTCGCTCTTTAATGACCACGCGGTAAGTGTTACACGACGCCGCAGCGGCTTCTTCTCCTCCTCCTCCTTCTGTTTCTTCTTCATCTTCCTACACGCGTCAAAAACGCGGTCTTTTAATTCTCGACGCGCTGCAGATACCGTGTCGTCGAGAGTGACGACGGAGATCGCGAGAGGATCGACTCGCTCGTTTCTCGCGCGGTCCGTGAGATTATTCACCTGATCATCCTGCCGGAGAAGGAGAAGAAGATCCGCAAACACTTGAAAAACTGTTCCAACGGAACAGCTCGTCCGCGGCCTTGTTCCTAATTGCGACGACGGACTCGCGCGCGCGAATCATCTGCGGGGACGAGCTTGGGAAAATTTCCCTTCAAATATCGCCGAGAACCTCACCTTTTCATCACTTCTGGTTAACGGCGCGTCGTGCAGACGGAGACTCGGCGTTTCGCAATTTATTATTCCGTGTCTAATATTTCCTCGGAATATTTTTTGCCGCATATAATTTGTTTCAGATTGTTGCGTGCGCGCGGCGGCGGGGCGCGGAGATATCGAACCAGATGGAAGATGGTAAATCGCGCGACTCGATAAAGGCACGATCAACTTCATTGTGAGACGCCAACACTTTCTTACGCGAAAAGACTAAAAACATGAATTTTAACGAATAAAATGTATTTGCAACAGTAACGCGGATATACCGCACTCAAGAAGAACAGTTTTGAACGTTTGCATTTTCGTTTTTATATATAACGGGTATTATATTTAACGAGCCGTCAGTTCGCCGTTTTATAATCTAACCACACCGATATTAATGTTGGCAGCTGCCAGATTATTTGATAACGGCCGGTGTAAAAACTTTTTTCGCACAAGTCTTTAATAAAGATCGTTACCGTGCGTATATTGTTATCGAGCGTCCTCTCGCGTGTGCGCTTTTACAGACTTGTGTATTTCGCACATTTACACTCTGCCAGTAATGAAAATCCATAGTTCACGTTACGCGCATTGTACGTATTAGGTTGATGCAAAAGTTCCTTCCGTTCTTTTAATCAAAATATACGTACAACATTTATTTATTTTAAAATACAATTAATCGATTAAATATGCGCCGTTTCGCCCGACGAGCTGCTGTCTCTCCGTCATAGCTGCATGATCCCGCATCTCGCATAGAAATTCTAGATTTCCCGAACGAAGGACTCATTACGAAACGGAACGAACTTTTGCATCAATCCGGTAGATTTTCTGTACTGGCAGTGAATACAGCCAGTGTTTGGCTGCTTTTACGCGCCAACTTCGTTATCATCACGCGTTAGTTCCAAACACAGATTAAGGTAAATGTACCAATTCCTGGACACGTTCCTAATTTCATGTTGCTATAGGAATTTAAATACGAATATTCAAACTTTAAACATAGAATATAATACGTGCATTGAATATATATAAATATTTCATGTTTAAAGATCAAACATTCGTATTTATAAGGACCAAACCTGAGTCGAAATTTTGGTCCTACATTAAGTCTACTTAGTTCCACATTAAGTCTTCAAGTGGAAAACACGGAAGTAATTTCCCATTTGTAACATCAAACAAGCACAATAGAAGACTTTTTGAAGACTTCATGTAGAACTAAATAGACTTAAAATAGAAATTAAAGTATAAAATTTCGGGAAACGACGAAAATGTCCACAGTTAAGTACGTGTCTAGACACTAGTATTTTTACCTTACGCATTTATATAAATTCTTTAATGTTGTAAGACTATAATTTTTAGATTGTAATTTTCTCTCTTTCTCTCTTCGTGTCACAATTGTGCCTCCGATTTGGCAAGGCGCGTCTTTTCGGGCGAATGTTCCGCGATCGTGCGAGAGTGCAATGAAAATTTACGGGAAGGCGTTCAGTGACCATCGCGGTATTTTGGGGTCAGCGGCGTTGAAAGGCATCGTGTGGCAACCACTGCCCAGAAGACCAGAGTCACTTTCTTCGGTCTTCTCACTTTCATATTTTCGTTCGGATTCTTTTCCCGGAGATGGGCGCCGGCAGCTGCCTTTCCCTCTCTTCCTGCACGCGGGGAATATCGCCGAAAGTCAGCTCGGCCGGTTGACCGACCGACCGGCCGGGCGATTCGGTTACACGAATTTTTTGAATTTCGCTCAATTATTTCGCGCGAGAACGCCGAGAGCGTCGAGTTAATTTAGAATTACGAGCTGTTAGAAACGACTTCGCGATATTCTATCGCGATACCAACATTTCCTATACGGTAATTGATGATTCCAACAATAATAAATCTGATCTCGCGTGCATTTGCATGAGAGTTACTTCCACTTATCGCCGTAATAACGGCATTACAACGCAATTCCTGTGATTATTGTATAACTTCATATAAGATAAATTTCCTAATAAAAGTCAATCAATATAGGCACTCGTAATCGCGCGGAATAGAAGGACCACTCGAGACGTCTGTTTTGGAAATCGCGACGCGTGCGACAAGAAAGTATAATTTGCGATTGATCCCCTTTTTAGACGATCTATGATTGAAGGGTTCGGTGCAAAACTCGCTCAGCTCTAACCATTTTTTGAAATGTCGAGTTTCTTACACCAACAACGCGTGAAAAGTTAATATAGACAGTTAAATCCACTTGAAAAGTCGTAATAACGACAACTTCAACAATCATAATCTCCCATGAGGCGTGTCAAAGAAATAACAAAAGGAACGAGGCGTTCGAAAGAGAGAGAGAGAGAGAGACCGGCGACGAAGTGAGTCAATACCGTGGCGAAGAGGCGCGCGATCGCGGGACTGAAGGAGGATTTTTCTTTCCGGGAAAACACAGGCGGGAAAAAAGGAGCGAGAGAGAGATAGAAAGAGACAGGCAGACTGCACGGTGTGTAACAGTGTGTTATGCGGTGCGAGCACGTAACGGCCGGTACAAACGATCGGATCGCAGGTAGAATTCTCTATTATTTTATAGCGTGCGCGCTCGCCGATGTCGCAATCGATGCGCACGTAGAGCGCACGAGACGGGGACTCTCTATTTCAACGGGGCCCGCGCGCGTGCCTTCCCGCATGCTAATCCGCCTTTTCTAAACCCAAGGCTCCTCCGTCGGCCGAGCGTGCCACGAGCGCGGCTCGTCGAAATGGATCTAGGCTCGCCTCGTGGTGTTTAGCTAGCACGCGCGTTCCAATTTTCACTTTCCATTCGCAGTGCGATGCGACGCGACGTCGTCGAACGACCCTCGTGCGCGCGCGCGTGCTCACCGATTCCGGTAAACCATAATTAATTGTGGTCGCGTGTTCCCGGGAGGAGTTCCAGCGGAAGAGCTGTGATCTTTTTATCGTCTATAATTTCTCACGGGCGACCCGTTACTCGTCTTTCTCCCCTTCGAACAGCGTTCCGACGTTCACTTTCCGCTCTCGAGTCGGTAACCGCGCGATAGAGAGGCTAGAGATGAACGCCACGATACCGCGGCTTATTTCCGCGAATGTCGGCGAACGTTAATCGGAATTTAATTTATTCGCTCGCACTTCAGGCGGGAAGTCAATTATAAAGCGCTCGGCGAAGAACTCGGTCTTCGACCGAATTCAGACGCGGGGAATTAATGGGACGTTAATTATCTCACATTCTCACGCGTCTGGCAACAAGAGACAACCGGCGGACTGAATGAAAACCTGAGTAGAAATTTTAAATTCTGCATTAAGTTCTCGAGGAGGAGGAAACGGAAATAAGTTCCTATTTGTAGCGTCAAAGGAACACAATAAGTGCTTCTTTAATATTACAAATGAAAATTGAGACTTTCAGAGTTTAAATTTTAATTCGTTAAGTCTTCAAGCGGGGAAAACGGCAATAATTTCTCCATTTGTAGAATCAAAGGAATGCAATAGAAGACCTTTGAAGACCTTTTTTCTTTCATATAAAACTAATTACACTTAATGTAAAAATGCAATTTCGGCTCGAGTTCGTTCGCAATCCGAACGACGCTTTCTTCTTACCGTCCGAATACGCCGGCGGCAGCAGCTTGAGGAACGGCGAACCCCTGGCACCCCAGGCAGGGTGCCTCACGTTATTGCAAGTGCCGGAAGGCGTTCTGTATTTGCTCGGCGGACAAGGCCTCTCCGATCGCACTCTGCATGGCGCGCTCGCCGACTGTATCCTGTTTTCCGGTCTGAAAGTAGAAGGGAGAATTTCATTTAGACGATTATCGTAAAATTAAGGGTTCGATGGAGAAGAAGCATGTCGATTGGTAATCTTATATACGCGACAAACTTTCAACTTAATTCGTATAAATTCAAAAAATACATTACAGTTTAAAAATATTAGTCGAGAACAATTGCGAAGCGAGAGGAAGATAGTTGCTTTTATCACCGCTCCAGAGTTTTGTGCTCTCTAAGAGCGTTAAAGTGGATTGCAAATTCGCAAGCTGGAGAACGGGATATATGTTATAAAGAGTTAATTTAGATAAAAGCAGGAAGAGAGAAAGAGAGAGAAAGATCTAACGATGATATCGAGTGTAACGTCAGAAAATCGCGTGGAGAGCGCGACCGATGTCGAGACGCGCCTTCGGCAAAAGTACAACCAGAAGAGTTGCCGAGCGAGCGTCCTTCCTGCTCCATTTCCCCCTTTTTCTCGCGGTCGGCTTCTCGACGAGCGCGCTTTTACTTTCATGGCCGAGGAAAGGAGCCGCCGACGATGGTCGGCTGGTCGCTTGGTCGGCCAGTCAGCCGGTGGTGTCGGCATTTCAGTCACGAGGAAGGTTTCTCGCACGACCATTGCCGGCGGTATTCCCTTTCCTCGACCTCGAGAAGGCTGCCGGTCACGGGAGTGCACGGTGCGCGCGCGGGCACAGCAATGTGTATGCCCTACCGTGGCCGTGATCGCAGCCGTCACGCGGCCGACCGTCGCCGCGAGTAGACCGCGTGCGGCACCAGCAGCAGCAACGGCAACTTGCCGAGCCGGTCAATACCGCCGGGAAAACCAGTCGCTCCGGTGCCCGATCGGAAAAGGTCCGTTTTGCCGTTTCCACTTCACTCCGGAACTCGCGTACACGCCAGTTCTTGTGTTGGCGAAAAAGCAAAGCGGAAAAAAAGTTTGTTTGGATTTACCGGATAGTGAACAAACTGAAATACATTTTGGTTGAAGGAAGCTGAATTTCTTTGCCTTTTCCTTCCCTTCTTTCTCTTTTTTCTCAACGATATGAGACTCATATACGCTTTTTCTTTTTTTTTTTCGTCTTGATACACGGAAAATAGTCGCGCGTTAAAATGTGATGCAGCGGTCTATTGTTCCCGTAGCGCAACCGAGAGCTCTTCGAAAATCGCGTTTACCGGATCGGCTTTTTGTAAAGCGAAGTGACAATTGCCGTTCATTTCCGTGAGATTCAATGGCTTTGTTCTTACCGGCGCCGGCGGCGCGTGACCGCCGGCATCGAACGGGTACAAATCGCGAGTATCGACTTCCTTCCCGCGGGAAATGTAAAATCGACGGGCGTTCTTGTGGAAACCGACTCGGCCAGTTCTCTTCTCCAGGCAACTTCAGTAGCGACGCACGTGTGCACATTTTATTTTCCTATTTACACCGGTCTCCGTTACGTATGCTGATTTTGTCGCAGTCCCGCTACGAGGAAACCGCTACAATCAGCATTATTACGTTGCATTACAAATTATAATTTCACAAGACGTCGCGTCGGCGGCGGTGTCGTGTTTATCCGACCGGCGACATCCGATATTTCCAATATTTCACGTCGCGATTCAACGGGTTGCTTGCAAGCATCGCTCGCGATCGTTTACGACAATTTCATGCTAATGGCACTCTTAATAAATGCATAATCATAATGTGATATGCAAACAATCGGCGCGCCGGCCGTCTGGCCAATTTCCGCGAATATCACTGGCGAACGCGTGCACGCGCGTCACTAGACGGTGATTTATCGATTGAAACTTCTGTTGTGCACATTATCGAGTGTATTTTTAAAATGTTTCCAATTATCCATCGAATTCTCGAATGCGAGAATTCTTTCTCTCCCTCTCTCTTTCTGTCTGTCTGTCTGTCTTAGACTCCTCGTATCAAAATTTTAATGCTATTTTAAGCCTAATTTAATTCTACATTAACTCTTCAAAGATCTTTTATTGTTCTCCTGTGATGCTACAAATGGGGTAGTTATTATTGTTTTCTCCACTTAAAGATTTAACGTAGAACTAAAATTTAGACTCTGGAGGTCTCTCGTTTGTAGCATTAAAGGAGCACTTATTGTGGAAAGTTAATAGGAACTTATTTCCATTTACTCCTTTTCAAGACTTAATGTAGAATTTAAAATTTTAATTCAGCTCAGCCTCAGAACAGACTTTCTTCTCTTGGTTCCGCACCCGACCGGCTATAAATTGATATCAGGCCTAATTCAATTTAACTTTCCGATGATAATATATACGATAATGTATTCATACATTCATACATACACAGTAAAAAATTTTATGTAAATAACCGCCCACTAAAATTTTGGTGTTACTTTAACAAGGCGAATATATTAACAAAGTAAATATGTTATCGTGTCTTTGCTTAATATGTAATGTATTTTTTAACATATCTTTCCATGTTAAAGTGGCGTAAAAATTTCAGTGGACTGTTATTTACACAAACTTTTTACCATGTATATCTTTTCTTGTACATACTAAAAAATATCCTCATTGATATATCTTAATATCATAATATTATTACATCATTGTATCAGACGTTTTGTCTCTTTCTTTCTCTCTCTGTTTCTACTTCTCTCTCGTCAAAAGAGAGAAAGAGAGAGAGAACATGTTTCTTCCTTGTGGGAATCGACATCTCGACGATTCTTCGCGACGATTCTACGTTCGACGTAACGCGAAGTACACAGAAGCGCGCACGTTCGATTACACGCATTCATTATCGCACTCGCATCGCCGCGCGTAGACCGAAATATCTCGCATAGATCCGAGAGATGCGTTCGCTCTGCAGACACCGCTGGAACGTTACGCGCGTACACACTTGCGTAATGCCGCGCGTAATGCAAAATACTTTGCTACCTCCCGTGTGTGATTATCTCAATATTTTACTTCGTAAGAACGTAACGAGGACGCTAATTAATCATTACGCGCCGTATATATTATAATAATAAGTCCAGGTGTTCAACGCGCGCGCGTCGTCTTCGCAACTATCGTTAATATGTCATTTCGCCGCGCGAAAATCGGGAATTCTGCCGGCCCGAAAATTTCCGAGAGATTCCGGGAGGCGATTTATCATGTGACAATTAATAATGCAAAAATCTCCCGGTGGCTCGAGATCTTTCATCGCACGCTTCGCGCGATATCGACAGACATGTGACGCTTTAATCAAGCGAGAAATCAAATGCCCCTTTTTTTCTTTCTTCAACGTTCAGGAAATCAATTTCTCATTAATTACAGCACGGTGGGGAGATCCGCCTGTCCTTGGCGTCCACAATGGATTCTTTTTCTCTCGATCCGCGAAGTCGCGAACCGGCTTTATTATACATTCGGCGGAGCGCGCGCGACCTTCGGCATTTCTACTATTACGAATTTTATTAAAACTACCGCATTATATAAAGGGGACGATTTGACTCTCCTACGAAACTGCACCGATGCGCCGCCGTGGAAGAATAACGAGCAACGCTGTCGACATCGGAGCTGTATGACGAATGGAAAGTGTGCGCATAGCACACAAGAACGCATTCCTCGAAGATTTATGTCCGAAATTTAACTTGAACGATAAGAGTGATCTCGACAGGAAGTATCTTAAAATAAAGAGTAACTTACGATTGGTAGGCGAATCTCTCCGCCTCGATAGCCGAGCGTGCTCTCGCTTGTAAGTCATGATCCACCCCGTAGACATATTCTGTAACAGAAATGTGCGATCTATCGCAAATTTGTGCCTCTGAATTTATACGTGTCGAGATTACACACGAGAAATGTACATTCTATGTAATAATAAGCGAACGTGTTATATCGTATATTTCAGCTTGAAACGTTTGAATTTGGACCAGAATTTCTCGAGCAGGAAGATATCGAATTGTTGAATTATGTCCACAGATTATTTGTATAATAAGAATTTAAATTCTTAGATGTGATAAAATCGAAAAAAACTGAAATAGTTTTCCTGCAATATCCGAAAAAACGTTTGCGAAATTAATTATTAATTATTTATCCGAAGAAAAAAACTTGAGAAATTAATTATTAGGTATTAACTTCTGCAATTATTTAACTCTTAATTTAAAACATAGTCTCTTCTTCGAAAGGTAATTATGAATAATAACTCTCGCAAACGAGGATTCGTGTGAGTCTTGTTTGAAAATCGTCGTTCCTGAATTGAAGTATTCGCGCGATCGCTCTGACGAGGCGCGGATAAAATATATGGATTAGAAATACGACGCAAGTAAGCAACGAGAGAGCTAACCGAGATTACGATAATCAGAAGAGGAATGCCCTCCGTTCCAATTGCTGATGTAATTTTACAACGTTACGATCGTAACGTCCCGTAAACCCATCCTCCTACGCACCGGCGTGCGTGTGGGAGCGGTCTCACAATTGTCTGGCGTTTCCTTCAAATTTGTAACACCGCCAGTCCGTCTGCTCCGTTGCACAATTTACCATTTCGACAGTCCGGCTCTTGAATGAACGATAAAAGCGTAAACCGGCGTAATTCGAAAGGTACATCGCAAATTACATAATCCTGAGTTCTTTCAAAGAGATGCTCTCTCGGACCATTTTATTCTTATATCCGAATCATCTTATTTTCGTCCATTCGAATCTATCTTTGAAGTATCTAGTTTTCTCTCTCTTTTTCTTTTTTTGAATAGAGTCACGAGTTACGTCAGGAATCGATGAGAGCTAGGGTATGATGATCGACGTGCGTCGTCGTTCGCTAAGTACTAATTATGCGATTCAGGTCTGCCGCGCGAAACCAATTTGACAGGTACATCCTGGAAAGTGCTAAAGAGTCTCCGAGAATCGCAAGATTAGTCAGCGTTCGCGCGCGCGCGCGCGCGTATTTTCTCGCAGGTGACTCAACGTTCGTGTCCAAAGGTGATGCCGTCGGGGTTAGCCAATTATTTATGCAAATATCCAAAGTATGCTAATCAACAGTTGTGTGCACACTGATTCTCTATGTGTGTTTCTTTTTTTATCGCTCCGGAACTACACACGAGTATTTTTATATCCGTACGAAGTACGTTGTTTTTCACATTTTGTTAAACTTTTTACCGTTAAATATATACGTTAAAGAGAGAAGAGCACGGAAAAACTTATTTTGCTGTTGCAGAGACGTCGTTGTTACTGCATATTCGTTGCGACAGCGATAAAATTTAATTAGCGTGACCAAATTAGCGAATTCGTAATTAGAGCAAAAACAGTTTCGTTGCCAGGATAGAAAAATTGTGTATTGAGTAAATTTGTTTTTAAGATACGTTAATTTTCTTAAAACAAAATAGTGTCTTTCAATATTTATTCATTTGTTTCTACGGCAAAGTAATTTGTAGATTCAGCAAAATAATCTAACAAGTGACAATTAGTGCTGTAAGTAGTCGTATAAAGAGAAATTTTAATGTCTATTTTTCTCCTAATGTCTATTAAAAAAAAAAATGCCCGTTTCTCTTCTAAAATTTTAGACAGTTTCAAATCAATGAATTATCAAATGTATCACCTACGAGTAACGCTATTTCCTCCTATGATCAGAAATACCGAGATCGAAGCAAACCGATAAATGTATTCTCGCTTATTACGCGTATCCCTGCGGTGACAGGCATTCGTCGCATTTTATTAATCATCTCGTTGCGCACGACGGATATATCCGTTCGATAGGTTGCGCACGTTCCCGAGAGATCGGTACGTTCACCATAATTAACCCTTCGCAAGATCCAACTCATTATCTCCGTACGGTTGCATAGAGCATTCGCAGTGTCGCAAGACGTCCGGCTGAATTTTCCTGACGAATGAAGCCGCGCGCGTTAAATCAAATAATCGGCCGAAGTAAACGCGCCGCCAGACGTTCCGTTAACAATGTCGAACTGCTCGCGAAGGTATTACGAAAGGATTGCGTGGCGACCGCGGCGAAATCCCGCGAGAAACATTAGCATCTGTACGCTAAAAGTTGCGCGCCGGGCGATTGAATGCAACACAACGTGATTGTCTTGTCTTTTACGTTCGTCTCGTGGCTAAAGTATTCTTCTCCCGCAAATAAATTTAACGATGATTATAATAATTATTTTTGTTATCAAAATAACGTGAAATGCGATGTTTTCTGTGCTGAAGAGCACTTACCAGAAATATCGAATTGGCTGATCGTCGGCGACAACGCTGACACCGCGATGAACAGTGCACACAGCAGTACCAAGCTGCTTCTGAAAGCAAAAAGTAAAGAGTCACGTTATTTCCCGAAAAATCAATTATTTTTTCTCGAGACACGCGTATCGCAGTGAAACTTGTCTTACTGACTATACTTACTGACTATAGGATGCTCCTTAAGCCATACTCATTAAGCAATACTCATCCTTAAGGGGAGGACACGTGTTTATGTGAAATGTTTTACTTGAAATAAACCAAAGAATCGTCCTCTTGAGAATGGCTGGGCGACTTAAGGAACACCCTATGCGGTATTATACAAGGTGGCCCAGACCAAGAGGGGCAAACTTCGCAAAGGCGTAGAATGTATTGAGATAAACAAAAAAATCCTCCATTATGTTGCAAATAATACGCAACATTTCGAGTTATTAATTATTAAAAATTGCGTGTTGTTTGCAAAAAGATGGAATTTTGAAATGATGAAACAAATGAAATTTTTTATTCGCCTCAATCCGTTCTACGTCTTCACAAAGTTTGTCTGAGATACCATATATGTTGCATTAAGTTCTTATGAAATACAATCACATGATAAAACTTAAGCCGGCTACGATGTGACAAATGTAGATGAACGTAGACGAACATTTGCAATTATATTGATCATGTATGTTGAACGAATACAACATACATGATAATATAACAAATATAACATAACATACGCGATTAATATAACTTTCGACGTTCTCCTACATTTGCCACATTGAAGTCGATTTTAAAACAGGCAAATAAAAGTCAAGCAAACTTTTCAGTAAATATGCAAATTACTGGTGCTACTTCCGGTATTTGACATATGTTACCAAAGACTTGACCCTGAATAATAAACAAAACCTACATATTTTATACTCCGTATTCTAATTTTTAACACTTGTCTTATTGTTGCACGTTAGTCTACAAGTGTCGATACGATGGAGAGACAAGCGATAAAAAGAAAAAAAAAGGCGGGATTACAGTGGCACGAGGCGTAACATAATTTTCTAAGATAATTATCTGTTTTTCTGCGCGTGACGTTGCGCGTTATGTAACACTAATAAGTTCATATCGCAAAATGCAATTAATTCGCCGGTGCACGCGAAGCGCACTGGGTTCGTGCGCGCGAATAAAGTGTTGCCTGAAATTCGGGGATCGATGTAATCCTGTCACGCGCAAAAAGGCGTATTTTGCCGGTCAGCAGGCTTTTATCCTATCTATTTACACATAATGTTAATTTAATTTTAAACACATTAATTAAACACGAAATCCACTTGATCTTATTCGCAACGATATTGTGCAATTTCACAATATTTTCAAGGAAGCCGTTACTATTTTTTTTCGCAACGATAGGTGGATGGAATATTATTTTCGCGCGATGTTACATACTTTCAGCTCGAAGAAAAGTTTCGGTTGAACGACGATACAGAAGGAAAAACGTCGCGCGACATATCCTCGAAAATGTCGGCGCATGACGACGTCGTCGCGGCTTCCAGGTAAAACCATATGTACTTTCTCTGTGAGAGGGAAGGAGAGAGAGAGAGAGAGAGAGAGAGAGAGACGCTCAGAAAGGCGGAGAGAGGAAAAGAGAAAAAAGAAAGATCAAGAGCAAGCGAGTGAATTCACCGCGTTCTCCAGCGCGGGAATTCTCGCTCGCTTTGACCGGTGTTTATTCCGGTCTCGATACTCTCGATCTTACACGGCGAGCCGTTGATCTTCATCCGCGCGTTTACTTTCGCGCACGATCGTCGATTGTTCCGACTGATCGTTTCGCAGAAATTGAAATAAAAGATGTAACGCAAATGCAAACACACACACACGCGCGCGTACAATACACATACAAGCTAATAATATACAAACGATTACGTTCGATGACACGAAACGTGGCGAGTTTCAACCAAACGCTTAATCAAATTAAATCTGTGGGAAAGCTTTCCATCTCTCTTATCGAATGTCTCCCTCATCAAGCGGACGAACTAATGACCGGAAAAAAAGCAATCAAGATATTAAGATGAAAGATATTAAGAGGCAATAAAAAAAGGAGGCAAATAAAAATAAAGATTTCCAAAGAGATTTTTATATAATTTTCAATATAATTCTTTCATTTCAGAGATAAATCCGATACGACGACGCGCCGGAGAAAACATCGCGGTCGATTGAGAGCCGCTGATATGCCGCCGCTTTCAACAATAACACGTAGGTGGACGGACCTACGTGTGTAGCACCTTCGCCGGTGGGCACCTGCGGGCGAATCGAAAACAGACGGGTGCGTCCAGGAACCCCGAGTGCCAGGATAAAACCTCTTCCTCCTTTCTGCGGCTCCTTCTGAGCTCCACACTCGACGGCGGCGAGACAGTGAGAGTAGCTACTTCGTATACGTCACTTACGGCACGTCGCAGCTACCATGGGGGTTCACACCAGACCACCTGACTGCGAAATGGTGATTCTTACTCTCTTATCGAATGTCTCCCTCATCAAGCGGACGAACTAATGACCGGAAAAAAAAGCAATCAAGATATTAAGATGAAAGATATTAAGAGGCAATAAAAAAAGGAGGCAAATAAAAATAAAGATTTCCAAAGAGATTTTTATATAATTTTCAATATAATTCTTTCATTTCAGAGATAAATCCAATACGACGACGCGCCGGAGAAAACATCGCGGTCGATTGAGAGCTGCTGATATGCTGTACGCCGCCGCTTTCAACAATAACACGTAGTATCTTGATTGCTTACGGTGGGACGGCGGAATGATCGGCGACGAAATTGCCGTATTTCAGACTCGAGTGATCCGAACCATCGAAACTAACATATTCACCTCGTTAAAGTAACATAAAAATTTGAGTGAACCGTTTATAACATAAAACTTTTTATCAGTATAAAACCATAAGGAGCCAAGTAAGTTAAGAACAATTTTTTATTGAGAAGGGCCTCCTCTCTCTCTCTCCCTCCTTTCCTTGGTTTCAACATTAGAAACGAAAGTGCGTATTAGTTTTACACGTTTGTTGGGAAATCGAGGGACCGCGGAACGAAAGGCGCACGTGAGCTGGGACCGAGCACGTGAGTCCGGAAGTTCTCGGCGAGCCCACGTGTTCTCCTTGATATTTATCGTTGCTCCTTCGCGAACTTGAATGTTCGTTCGATAATTTCGCAGCCGTATCAATCGAAACGTCTCGTAAAGCAAAGCGAGCACTCGCTCTTCCAACTCAATTCCGGATTCGCGATACGAGCAGTTTTTCTTTTTGCAGATGTTTTTTCGCACTTTTACGACTTTTTAACCCACGAAGAGTTTTCGTCTTTGTCGTCCGCTCGTTCGCGGAAAGAACTTTCCCTTCGCGTGTCCGGGAATCAAATCCAAATCAAGGTACGAAAATGATAATTGGCGTATACGAGCGTGAATGGCGACTCACTTCGATCGGACAGCAATAAAGACCCATGCCTTCTCTCACAAAGTCGAAGTTTATTGCGCCGGGTCCTCGCGTAAGGATCCGCGGTGTGTTCACGGACGCGACGCCGCCGTACACTCTTTTCACTTCCGAAGTCGGTGACGTTAATATACAACGCGACATTATCGCCAACGAGATAAAACGCCGGTGTCCGTCCGTCCGACCCGACCGACCTGTCTGCTTTTCTGAGTGCTTGCAATTACAAGACTCGCTCGCTCGCTCGTTCGTTCCTTCGTACGTCGTACGCGCGCACACACATGGACGATAATTCAGTGTCAGTAGGTCAGCGGAAACTGGAGAAATCTTTCTCGAGGACCCGATATACGCACGTGCGATCCTCGGGATCTCGCGCCTCGGGCGGCGCGACTCCGAAAAATTCTGCCGCGAGGAACACCTGCGAGCCAGTAGCTCGGGGTCGACCGACGAGAGAAGGTACATCTTATTCGACTGATTCCGAGCAAAAACAGTTCGATTCATTACTCTTCCTTTATCGAGTATTGCCCCTCTCGGCGAGATACGATAAGATAGAAATGAATCCGCGGCGTATAATGATGTAACTTTGCCAAAACAAGTCAACATTTTTTCATCACTGCAATATCGCCCGGACAATCTGACAGCAGGCACTCTAGTTCAAATGTCTATCATTTATCGAAATTATGCCACTTCCTCGTGATACTATCTCACGAAAAATGTACCAAACAACACTATAAAATATTGCACGGTTGTGAAGAGATTTATTTATACAAAAGATATTATGAATGTGACAATCAGATAAAGAAGAGAAAATGCGAGGAGAAACTTCATATTACTGCTCTTACTCGAACGAGGAAGGAAGTGTCGATAAAGAGTATCAGTTACCCGAGAAGATTTTCCTTCCCGGCCGGGAAGCAAATGTCACTGAAACGTCAGGACGAGAGATCCTCGACGAGACCGAAGAGGGCAGGTGTAATTGCGAAAATCGTCGCGGCTCAAGGTTGCCGGACGCGCGCGATGGAAACGGATCGCCATGAATGAATATGAGAGCGGCGAGCGTTAAATTCCTCGAGGCGATAAGTGGCGAATATAACGGCGATGCTCTCGAGGAAGTGGACGCGGGTGAAAGTGCTTATGGGACATTCGCCTGGCGACCGGCACCGGCCCGGCGCGTTCGCCCATGAGAGAGAGAAGCCGCTTGGCTCGCACGTCCGCCACAAAGTACGTTCTGTTGCCGTGACACCCGAAGGTCGTCCATCGACGACCGTCGTAGTAACCTGACGATTGCGGCATTTCGTTGGAAATTTGCAAAATTCGGCTGACGCGTCATCTGACACATCTCGGTACGCGGAGATACGCGGAGATTTGCGAGAATCGCACGCTCTTCCGCTCACGGAAACAGGGTTCCAAAGGCAAGGTCGACCGGCAATTCGGCGCTAATTGGGAGATCTAATTAGCCGGCAAGAGCGCGCGCGTAGATCCGTGAGCGTGATCTCAGATACATACTGTATGCAAATCGCACATATTTTCCTCGCTGAATAATTTCATCTTAATGGCATTCTATTCTCTCTTAGTAATAACAAAAATAATTGTCTCGTCAAGATATAATAATAATAA